CAGGAGCATGCGCTGTCAGAGCTCCGCGCAGATTTCGTGGATCGGCGGTGGGCGTCGAAACTCGTCGGCGCGCCCGGGGGGGAGTGAGAAGGGGCGGGCCTCCTCAGAAGGCTCGCAAGTCCCTGGCCCTCCGACAAGTTCCCTAAGCCTTCCCCGAAAACGCAGGAAGCGTCGCAGGAGGCCCGAGGGCTTCTGAAAAGCCCCGCCGCCTTCTGAGAAGGCCTCCTCCTTCTCACTTCCCCCCCTCGCTCGTCGCCGAGAAATAAGGCATCGGGGGTCCGTGCCCGCCTTGGCCAATCGACGTGCGAGGGGTCGGCCGAAAATGGGAGCAGGCACGCGTGCGGGCCCCCGAGGAACCTGCAGCGCGTCGCCAGCGGTGACGGCGAGGCACGTGGAGAGGTCCCAGACCTGAGAGCAGAGAGGATCGACTGCAGCTGCTGCTAATCCTCGCAGCTGCCGCCCCCTTGGCAAGTTAGCTCAGGCCGAATGCTGAGCAAGCCATAGGGCTGGCTGTCATTCGTAACCGTGGCAGGGCACTGAGCACAGTAAAAGATCTTCGCTTTGATCACGAACGCCATCGTGGCGGCGCCCACACGTGGGTGGCGCGAGGGGGGGTGCTTCTAAGATAGCGGCGGGGCTTCTGAGAGAGTAGGTGGGCTTCTTAGAAGCCCAGCCTCGAATCCAATAAATCTTACAGTCGAAACTAATAGTAATGATGCAGGGTACGGACGCAAGCCCCTTGTGCGCCCATGTCGAGGCTCCTCGAGCGGGGCTGGCCGTCGAAAAGGGGTTTCAGGATGGACCGAGGAAGCAAGGATGCAAGGGCACCCTTGGGAAGGTTCACCATCCTTACTATCGATCTCGAGTGCATGAGGAGCCTCGAGGGCCTTCTGGGAAAGGCCCGCGCCTGCTGATAAGCCCATCCGCCTCATTAGTCAGAGTGAGGGGGCCGACCTGTCATTCACTGTCCTTGAGTGCCTGGCTGAAGTGGGGTTCCGCGGTGCGGATTGGCGTTGCGTTGCGTTGCGTTGCGTTGTTGTCGTCGTCGCTCTCGCGATCTGGCCCGCAGCCCACCACGACCCGTCCGCGACCATGCCCGAGACTCACCCGCCTCCCAACCGCGTCCCACCCGCGTCCCACCCGCGACCCACCCGCGACCCGCCCGCGACCCGACCACGACCCGCCCGCGACCAGCCCGCGACCCGCCGGCGACCAGCCCGCAACCCACCCGCGACCCACCCCGCGCCCGCTCCCTCACTCTCATCCGCATCTGCGGGGTGCTACAGAAGACGCCCCCATCGGGCCACCCCCTTGTGGGAGCCGCCAACTACTGCCCTCGCGAAAACCCAGGCCTCCATCGCAGTGGAGACTTCCAAGCGGCGCTCTGTTTACAGCTTTCGGCCTCTGGGGGTCCCCGCTGGGTTCAGGAGAAGCTAAATCCAGACGAAGTAAGCCTCCGAGCATTCCGTATGGACTTGCTCAATATGGACTTACCTTCCTACCTGGAGAGGCCAAGTCCAAACCGGGTAAGCCCAGATGGAGACCGAGCACTCCGCATGGACAGAATCCGTATGGACTTAGCCTCCGCCGATGGGCACCAAGGCCGTCAGAAGACGGCCCGGAATGAAAGACCGACCCCGGGGAATAGGGTCGGAACTTTGGGGGATCCCTTTTGCAAGTTCTGGGCGTAGAGCAAGCCGTGTCAGTCTTGCTCGCTCACCCTCTCTCTCTCTCTCTCTCTCCCTCTCCCTCTCTCTCTCTCTCTCACTGGGCGAAGAACCCAACCATACGCAGGTGTGAGCACCGCAGAGAAAGGGGGACGACGGTGGGGTCACGAAGCGTGAGAGGTCTGTGTCGAAATGGGCGGGCGGACGCCGCGCGAGCGCTGCCTCTGGGGCCTCCGGTGGGGCTCCCTGTGGGGCCACGAAACGCGTGAGCTGTGTGCCGACATGGACGGGCTGACGCCATGGGCGCCCTGCCGCCGGGGCCTTCGGTTGGGGCTCCCCGTGGGGTCCCGAACCGTCCGAGGCGTGTGTCGACGTGGGCGGGCCGACGCCGCGGGGGCCCCGCCGCTGGGGCCTTCGGTTGGGCGCCCTGCGGGATCACGAAAGTTGCGAGGGGTACTCCGACATGGGCGGGGTGACGTCATGCGGGCGCCGCCGCTGGGGCCGTTGGTGGGGCTCCCTGTGGGGGGGGGGCACGAAACGCGTGAGGGGTGTGCCGAAAAGGGCGGGGTGGCGCCATCTGGGCGCCGCCATGGGGACCCTCGGCAGAGCTCCCAATGTGGGGACGAAACGTGTGAGGGGTGTGCCAATGATGACGGGAATAACTCATGACGATGACGACGATGAAGGTATGGCGATGAAGATGAAGGTGATGATGGTGGTGCGGATGACCGCGAAAGGTGTGAGGGGTGCGCCGAAACAGAGACACATGAAAGGGCACATGCAGGGATGGGAGGAGGGGGGAGGGGGCAGCACGAGGCGGAGGAGGGGAGCGCGGCGCTGCGGATTCAAAACGAGGATCCAACACTTTGGATGGTTGGAAAAATCAGGACGCCGGATCGCTGGGGAGCCAGCTTGATCCCCCCGCTGTGCGGCGCGGCATCGTGGACCTCCTCGCTCTGGAGGTGGCCCGCTGGCCCAAACCCATGCTCCCAGAGGGCCCCCAGAGGTCTCGAGCCATTCCCTGGGACCGGCGTTTCGTCCTGCTGGCGAGGGCCCGCAAGAGGCTGACACACCTCGCCGTGACTCTGCCACAACACGAGAGGGCCTGGGGATGGGTGTGGTGTTGCTTCCTGCCCCCTCCCCCCACCCCGCAGACCCACCCCGGCGCCGGCGGCACCACCGTCGTGGCCGCCCGCACGAAGCTGCCCGGCGCCACCACCTGTCGCCGCTTGCGGATGGGGCGCTGTGCGCTCCGCCTGGCGCCACCCTGGCGCCTCCTCCGCGCTCCTCGGTCCCCGTCCGTGGCTCCCCGCCTCGCCCTCGACGGTGCTCCTCCGTATCCTCTTCGTGCTCCTCTTCCTCTCCTCTCCCTCCAACTTCGTGCCCCTCGGCCTCCACGTCGTCCCAGTCATCATCGTCGTCCCTGGCCACCTCGGCCCCCCCTTCGTGCTCCCCGAGTTGAGGTACTGGATGAGACAATGGGGGGAGGAGACGAGGAGGGGAACGACGGCAGAGATACGGCGAGTTCGTGTCGTGATGACTTCTGCGTTGGTTTCTGACGCCACGTGGATCGCTCAACCTTGAACGATCAGTGGCTTCCTGATCATCACTGGCCGATTCTGGGCCACCGGCGGCGTTCAACCTTGAACGCCTGTGTTGGGATCGTCGCCGCGTTGACACGGCATGCACATACCGTACCCAAGGGCGCGGATCGGGGTGCCCACGTTCCCAAACCTTCATTCTTGGGCTCCCCAGCCGGGGGTGGGGCCCATCCTTGTGACGCGACGCTCATCGACAGCAGGGAAGGCTCCTCGCCCCCCCGTGCGACCCAAGGGAACGTCCTGGACGCGCCCAGGGAGGACGGGGCGGAGGAGGGGGACGACGGCAGAGGAAGCGGCGGGGATCGGGGTGTTACACGACGCCCAGACCGCGATTCTGGGGCTCCCTGTGGGGGGGGTCCTCCTCTTGCGGCGCTCACCCGCGGCACTCGGAGGCAACACGGCCCCTGGCCCTCCCTCGGACGCCGGGCGCCCGCTCGCCGTCGGGCTCCCCCCCCCTGGGCTCCGCTGGAGGCGAACACAAACAGTGCACCCCTGGCGAACCAGCCTCGAGCTGATCCTTGTCCCCGAGTCTGGCAAGATCCCAAGCGATGACAATCTAGGGGGTGCGCCCTCAAAAGCTGGGGGGATCCTTAAGGTCGGCATCGAGATGAGGTGGTGGCAATCACAGGGATCAGAATATGTCTCAGGCGGCAGAAGCCCCTCAACATCTGGTCATGATACTGCAGAGACGAGCGCTGCAGCATAGACTTTTCATGGAGACCCATGCTATGAGGCATACTTGAATTATGCTATATTGTTGACTTTAAATCTGTGCCCTGCTCATGGTTGAGCGGGACCCCGCCCGATCTGGCCTGGGCATTCTTCGACGTATGTATGTTCACTTGTGTCATGGACCTGGCGCACATGCCATCCGGTGCGCAACCCGACCCCAGGCCTGCTAGTCGGGGTCCGGACAAATTAGGTCGACAGATCGCGCCGCATCGGCGATGCATCGACGATGTATCGGCGATGCATCGGGCTGGCGATGAACGGGCGACGCCAGCGTGGAGAAAATCTGGCTCCATATCGGGCCGCACCGCCGAAACATCTGCGGTTCGACGCTAGCCCCCGAGCGTCAACGTCCCGAGACTTTCCCGACCCCCCCCCCGCGGAGCGCAGTGACACGCGATCCACTCGCAAAGTGCAGCGTGTCGCCGGGACCGCCGCCACGACACGCTCAGCAACAATTCCTGGACGCGCTTCGCACCATGTTGGAAAGACCAGACGGTAGCGATATCGCTACTCGACGGACCTTTCACAGGGCGCTGTCTGACCAGAATGTCGAGTGCGAAGCCGGCTGCGTCGACGAGGAATTCGGAAGAAGCTCAGCATGGCGGACACGAGGGAAGGGCTGCGGTACCGGCACCTTTCCCCAGACATTCAACTTGGGTGGCAACATCCGAACCCCACCTCACCAATCATCGGTACCCCCGAATCGATGTGAAGCAGGGGTCGGAGCAGGGGTCGGGCTCGGATTTCGCGACGTTTCGAACGACTTCCGACCCCACCCAACGGCCCATCGAGTTGCCTGAAACGTTGATCGGAACGGGTCGGTTGCGCATCGCCGCTGCACTCGGGAGGCCAAGGGTCCCTTCTGACGAGGGGTAACGACAAGGGGGGCCCGGCCTCAGGGGGGCCGACAGAACGGCGGTAGGCCCCCAAAAGCAAATCTGCACTTTCCTGGGCAGGCTGGGGCTATCAGAACCCTATCGGCGATCAATGATCGATTGGGGGTCGATGCGTCCCCCCCTATGCCTATCCCCCCCGATCTTCGCCCCTGATGTGAGGACCTCCGAGGAGGCTCAAGGCAGCGAAAACACAAGGGAAGGCAGCGGCCTCGGCACCCCCTCCTCTGACTGTTGGAAAGCCTGGGATCCCCCCGCCAAAGCCGCGCGGCGCCTCGGCCGGCTCCTCGCCGCCGCACGCCGCGGCCGCGGCCGCCGCCGCCGGCGCGTCGCCGCCGCGGCGGAATGGCGCCCTGCTGCTGCTGGCCGAGGGCGAAGGCAGCGGGGCCCCGCCGGGGCTGGCCGAGGGCGACGGGGAGCGCTCGGGGCCGTCCTCGCCGAGGGCCGAAGTCGAACCAGACAATCACTAAAGTGTCTTGCGTTGAGTTTCTGTCTTCCCGCGATGCTGCGTTTGTCCATGCGGCAAAAGCGAAGCAGATGAAGGTTGTCGGTAAAGTCGTTCTAGGGAGCCCGTTTCTTGTTGTTCTCCTCTTGGGGATGGGGTTCTGGCATGAGACAGGGGCCAGCGAAACCAACGCCGCAGCTAGCCTGCTCGACCATTATTGGCCCCCTTCGATGGCCAGCGCAGCTCGAATGGGCGTACACGGTGCTTGCATCCACATCGCACATCCATATGATCAGTTTTGGCTGTATTGGATAGGGAACCATTTGGTAAGGAGTCCACAGTCTCAAGCTGGTGGAACTCCAATCGTGGATGGCTATGTATATCACACCCGCCCTAATCAGATAAGTGATCCTCCCGAGACTGAAGCCTCCTAGGCACATTCCTTAATGAACGCCCCCGCACAATGGTCGATGTTGAGAGCGCTGGGGGCGTTTTTGTTGTGTGCTTCGTTTTCCATTGTTCGGCCTTGGGCCAACCAAAGCGGACAAACAAACGGCAGCCCAACACAGAAACAACAGCCGCAATCCAGCACGGAACCGAAGCGAGCAAAAGGCGCGAGCGAGAATCCCAACACGGGAACACACAAAGGCACAACAACTGAAACAACAACACCGATTTTGAGCACGGAGAGAAAAAAAAGCCCACAACATGTGTGGCATCATCTGGGACCCAGGGAGGAAGCTCGTGGACTCGGGGACCGAGGCGCTCGTGAGGAGGCACGAGATTCGAGGACCGAGGCTCGATCCGCCCCCGAATTCAGGAGAGAACGCGCCCCAGAAGAGGTCAAGGGATCGAGTTTTGACCATGAAGTCAATCCCCCCTCGCACCGTGAAGAAATCACGACGGGAGGTTCTTTGGCTACGTTCGGCCTCTGGGGGCCCTCGCCGGGCCCTGGGGCCGACTCAAGATGAGACGCCGGTCCCGGGGAATGGGTCGAGACCTCTGGGGTCGACGCTCTGAACGATCATGGCGACGGGGTAATTCTGCGATAGGCCCCTGATGACAAGTCCGCACGCTCCTGCGCGGGTTTGGGGCTCTCAGGACCCCATCGGCGATGAATGGGCGAGAGAGTGTCGATGCATCCCCCTCCTGCTCCGTTCCCCCTCTAACGTTGCGCCTTTGGCCCTTGATGCCAGGCGCACGACAACATGGATTGCAGATCCGCGGCTCTGGCTCTCGGGCGCGAGAGAGAGTAATCAAACGGTGTGCGTGGATTTTTGCATGGACTTGACGAGGGTGCGCGCAGATTTCCGCAGGGAGGCGAGACCCTCGCTCATCCGGGCGCCTTCATCCCCAGAACCCCGACGTCGTGACTTCTGGGGCGGCGAGTAACGGGGCACGATCAATGGGGGGATGAGAAAAAAAGGTGCACCTTTCGTGCTCTGAAGGGGGCCCCCTCGGGCGGACCCCCAAATAGGCACAAAGGGTGCACGTTTCTCCCCCCCCCCCCCCCGATATATCGCTTCCAATGAATCAACGCCCGATGTTTCGCAAGACGTGAGCCGCTGGAGGTCTCGACCCATTCCCCAGGACCGGCAACTTCATCCGGCCCCGGGGCCCGGCGAAGGTCCAGAGATTCAGACTGGAGGTCACAGAAAAACCTCCAGTGTCATGATTTCTTCGCGAAGGGGGGCTCGGGTTGATGGGTCAAAAACTGGTCCCTGGACCTCCCTGACCTCTCTCAGGGCGCGCTCGGAGCTTCACGGATTGAAGGCGGCTCCATTTCAAAATGTGGCTCTCGCCCGAGCGTCGCGCACAATTCGTCGCACAGCTTACTTGAGCTTCACGGATTGGAGGGCGGCTCCTTCTCAAAATGTGGAACTCGCCTTCACGCCGCGCACCTTAGTTTTTTTATACCTTACATCAGCTGCAATGGTTCTCATGGCTCACCCCACAGAAACAGCGCTTTGACATGATCTAGCACGTCAACGATTCGAACTGTTGAAATCCAAAGAATTGCGTCACGGCGCGATCCAGGACCGTCAAGCCGTAACGGTAACGTGGGTTCGTGGCGTTGAACTACCAGGGAGGGTGTTCTGGCACGTGCCAGGACTTTCAAACGGTTGTCTTCCAACGGGGCGCTTCCCTCAGTGAAAACAATCCTTGTAATCATATGGCCTACGAAGAGGGAGCTTGGAGGGAGGGTCTATTACAACATCGTTGATGAGCCTTTGGTTTTCTCTGGTCCTCCTCCTCCTCCTCCTCCTCCTCCTCGTCCTCTTCCTCGTCCTCCTCCTCCTCCTCCCGCCCGCATCCCTCCCGAGGGTGTCCTCGTCGATGGGCGCAAGGCCCTCCTTCCCCAGGGCGAGGCCGCGGCCCACTGGGATGGCGACCCAGCCTCTGCGGCAGGAGAGGGCGGTGGGGGAGAGGGAGGAGGGAGGGAGGGAGGAGGAGGAGGGAGGAGGAAAGGGAGGAGGAGGATAACGAGGAGGGAGCAGGAGGCAAGGGAGGAGGATGAGGAGGAGGAGGATGAGGAGGAGGAGAAGAGAGAGGAGAAGGAGGAAAGAGGAGGGAGGGGCAGGAGGGGAGTGGAGAGGGTGAGAGAAGGGAGGAGGGGGAGGGGAGTAGGAGGGATGGAGAGGGGAGCAGGGGTGCAGGAGCAGGGGAGGTGTACAGCGTCGGGGCGCGCGCGTCCCTGCCCCTACCCTCCCGGTGCGTGCTACTTGACATCTGCGCGCTTGAGGGAGGAGGAAGGAGAGGGGAGAGGTGAGGGAGGAGGGGTCGATTGCGGGGTCAGAAAGACAGGGGGGGGAAGATGGAAAGAGAGGGTGGAGGCCGCGGATCAGGAAGCGGTTGGGACTCGGGGGAGACGACGGGATGTACGAGGAGGAATGGGGGCAGGAAGAGGAGGAGGAAGGGGGCAGGAAGAGGAGGATGCTGAGGAGAGGGGCAGGACTGGAAGTTGGAGCATCAGGAGGAAGCAAATGGCAGGAGGGGGAGGACGGATGGCGAGGATGAGTCTAAGGATGAACGAGAGGCACGTGGAGGGGGACGGGCAAGATGAGGAAGGAGCACGAGGATGACGAAAAGAAAGATGCGGGAGGAGGTGGAGGACCGGGTAATGATCAATATCATGGAGAGGAGGCATACGAGGATGATACAGAAGAGAGGGGAAAGTGGAGGAAGAAGATGGGGACGAAGGGGGGACGTGAAGGGAAATAATGTATCCAGACGGCGAGATGAATGATAGAGGGGCAGACATAGACGGGATAAAGAAATTAATCGTGAGAAAGACCAGGGAGAAGGATCTGAGAGCCAAGACTGATAACAAGGAAAATTATAAAGGGGGTCAAACAAGCTCCAGGGGATCCAATCAGATTCTTGGAGTGTCCTTGGGGTTTGGGGACGCAGGGACGAGAGGGAACGGTACGGGGGAGAGGGGGGACCGGCTCAGGAGGGGAAACAGATCGACCTGGAATCGGCAATACATCGCCGAGAGATCGGCGATTTGCCCTGGACAGCGATGCCGCACGTTGCTGGATCAGCGATGAATTGGCGATTGGGCGTCGATGCGTTCTCCCCCTGGCCTCATGCCTCCCTACCGTTGGCTGGCCTCGGCATTCAGGACATCACTCCGATCTCCGACGGCCGCTCGGGGCGATGCTGGCATCCCCCCGGCGGAGCGCTCTACTGAAGCGCATCCCGAACGAGAAGGTCCGGAAACAACACAAAACATACAAAACACACAAAACACACAAAACACACTGTGGGGAACACACACACACACACACGCACACACACACACACACGCACACACACACACACACAAAACACACACAGTGTGTGTGTGTGTGTGTGTGTGTGTTGTTTCCCCGCAGTGTGCGTTTTTCACCACAGACTGTGTTTTTTCCCCACAGTGCGTGTTTTTTTCCCCAACGAACACCGCGAGCCTCGAACCTGTCGCTCCCACCCAACGTAGCCGCTGAGGTAACGCTGCCGCGGAGGGGGGAGGACGAGAGAATGCAGAGGAAGCAGCCCTAACCCCCACAAAAAAGCATTCCGACCGCCGCACAACCAGGCTCCCAACTCTCGCCCGTCCCCAAACGACGACGACAGCTGACGACGACGACGCTCGACGAAGGACGACGACGACGGTCGACGACGACAGTCGACAGTGACGGCGACGGTCGACGACTGTCCCTGGAGGGCTCCAGATTTCCCCAATGAGTCACCCAGATGCCTCCAGAGGCCCCTCTGGAGGTCAATCAAGGACCAAAGGACGCCCAGAACCCCCCATCCTTGATCCGCCATCTTGGTTCCTCGCGTCCCCCGACGGTTGACGGCAACGACAACGACGACGATCAAGACGATGATTCACGACGGTCGGCGACGACGGCGACGGTCATCGACGACGTCGACGCAATCGACGACGAAACCGACGAAACTGACGACGGCGGTCGGGCACGCAAAAGATGGGGACGGCGAAATGGGTCTATCATCCAACGTTGTCCATCCGCGAGTGCTGCCAAACACCCAATCAAAATAAGGACAACCAACCAATCAAAATAAGTTTGACTGTTGCCAATAGTCAAACCGTATAGTAAGGACGCACGATAAGGATGCAAGGGCTTGGGAAGACCATACACTTTGCGAGCGGGGCGCGGCCAGCAAAAGCGGCCGAGGATTGGCCGAAGGGGAGAGATGGAAGGCTACCATTGAAAAGTCGCTCAACTTTACTATGCAGAATGACTGTAAGATGTGTATAATCAACCACCGCCCGCAATGGGTAAGCTGCCCATCATCAAGCGTTGTTAGAAACCGGCAGCGAGAGCTGCCTGGCAGGCGACGCCCACCCTAGGCGCACAGCGCCCGCGGCGGCACTGACAGCGAGCCCTGCTCCAAACAGGAAAGACCTGCTGCTGGTATACTTGGGCGGCACTGACAGCGAGCTCGGGCGGCACTAACAGCGAGCTCTGCTCCAAAGAGGAAGGACCTGCTGCTGGTGCACGTGGGGTCCATGTCGGAGGGCTGCGCCGAATCGCCGATGCATTGGAGATTAATGATTTAAGACGAAACCCGGGCGAGAATAAAATCGGGTGAGGATCGATAGACAATTTCTAAGATCTGGCGGTCCTGGAGGATGTATCGGGCGCCGCGGCCTTCTCAGATCGTTCCGGCACGCTCTACACGGATTGATCCTAGTCCTAGCCCCGTCCGAGAGATGCATGGGCGACATCGGCGATGCTCCGGCGCCGTCGGCGTGGAGGAATTCGGGCTCCACATCGAGCCGCATCGCGCGTGCACCGGCGAGCGTTGCGGTCCTCTGGCCAGAACTGCTCCCGTCCCATTCTACAGGCCTGGATGTCGGATAGTCCGTGTGACACGGAAATGCTGGACGAGAACTGGTCTGGGGAAGCAGGGCTGATCTGGGAAGACTGGGGAACAGTGCCGCCCAGGCAAAGCTCGGTGCGCACAGTGGAAGGCGCGAGTAAGCAGTCGTCCCTGACCGCACCCTCTTATCACCCAGGACCTGAGATCGTAGGCGACTCTCGTCCCTAATCCCCGATGTCCCTCCCAATCCATCTGGCGGGGCTCGGGGATACAGCCCCAGAAGGACATCCAGACCCTTCCCCCATCTTATGTCCCAGAGCGTTGCCTCAACTTGTTCGCCGAGCCAAAGAAAGAACAACTGCCCAAGCATTAACTTTTGGAGGTCCGTGCGCAATTCTTGCATCTGCGCTGGACTCCCCCCCTCCCTGGCGCGCGGAGCGCGCTGGGGCGGCGCCAGAGGCGCCGCCAGCGGGGGGCCAGCGCCGACCCAGGAAAAATACGCGAACCTTGGAAAGTCAACGATTATGCAGCTGTTTCTCCTCCTCGAGAGAAGCAAGCAGGGACCCACCACAACGATGTGTAAAACAAACTGGCGTTTACAACGAACTCCGAAACGAGACCTAACATTCAAAACGAAGCCGGTGCCAAACGAACACGAGCGACGAAACGGGGCGGTCAAAACAACCACGAACAACGAAACGAAGCAACAAGGAAAACCACGACGGAAAACAACAATTGACTAAGGCCCCAAGCACAGCTAAACAACTTTTTGGTCGGTCCTTGGAAACACATCGCGTCGGGGGTCGGGCCTGCAAAGCCCTCGTCTAAGAATCCTTCCGGCCCTTGCTTTCGGCCCCGCCGGGCCGACGGCGAAACTTGCCAACTCCTCGGCGGCAGCTCTGGCGTTCAGCGAACGTGTCCCAAGGGAAACACACAAGTCCCGGGCCCTGGGGCCTCTCCCCCCCAGTCGGGAGCGGCCAAGAGGGCGGTGTCCAAGAGGGGGGGGTGCAAATCATGACCGGCGGCATGTGCGCGGCCCAGCGGGGGGGCCAGGGACGTAAAGAACTAAGAAGGGGCGCCATGAAATCTGGGGAAATATCATGGCCCACGCCATGATACCCCCCCCCCCCTAGTCATCACCCCCCTCTTTTCCGCCCCCGACCCAGGGGCCCCGCTCTCCCTCCCGGGACGCTCCTCGGCAATCCCTGGGGCCCGCGGAGGGCTCGGGGAGCCCGAGCGCCCGCCCCCGCAGCCCCCGTGCTGCCCCCCGGGAGCGCCGAACAGGGGAGGGCAGGGCAACGTTCTGGCGCCACGGCGAGTCTCGGCCGCGGGCGGGCTCCACGGCCAAGCCCTCGGCCACGGCCCGCAGGCCAGAGCCCCCCCTGAGACCAGAGGGCTGACCGTATTTCGGCGCCTCTGGGGAAACTTCTTCCGTCCGCGGCGAGGCGGCGAACTCCGCTCCGGCGAGAAGCCAGAGAGGGGCACGAACCACCAGCTGGCAAATTCGCTGGCGACCTTTCTGGAGAAACACCGACAACTAAAAGATACCGCTACACCCCCAGACGTGCCCCCTGGCACGTTGAGGCACGCCAGAATGCTACATTCTGTTTGGTAGGGTTTCTGTAATCTCCTCAGGGGGCCCCCCTCCGGGCCGCACCTCGTCGCGTGCACCGGCCGTGCTCCCGCGGGGTCCCCGGGCGGCCATGGCGGGGGCTCTCCAAGGCTTCCGTGACAGCCCAGGAGGCCCCCAAGACTGTCCACGAGGGCCCCGAGTCGCCGAAGGATTGCTCGAAGACGCCCAAGATGGCCTCAAGATGCCGGAAGAGGCTTCCGAGGCGCCCCAAGAAGCCTCCAGGGCCCCCGAAACATACAAATCATGCATTCCCAACGTCCAAGACGGCCCAAGAGGCCCCCAAGATCACCCCAAAGAAGGCCCAAGAGGCCTCCAAGAGGGCCCAAGACTGCCTAAGAGCTCCCCCCGAAGGGGACCCAGAGAGGGAACACGAATCGAAAATCCGAGCCCTGCGCCCCAAGGGGCCCCAGGAGGCTCCAAGAGGCGCCCGAGAGGCCCCAAGAATCCCCCAGGAGGCCCCCAAGAGACCCCAAGAGACCCCAAAACGGCCCCCAAGAGGCCTCAAAACTGCCTCCGAGATTCCATCGAACATCCACTAGGGTCAACCTAACCACTGCGGCGGGACTTGCTGTAGGCAGCTGGACACCGCAAATCCCCAGACATCTCCAGGGGTGCGTTACAAAGCGTATCCAACCGCGCCGACGAGGGCCTACACTAGGAGGCCAACGAGGGCCAGGGGTAATTAGCCGTGTGAAGTGGACTATCGTTCCGGCGCCTTGGCCGAGCCCAAGGCTATCGGTTCGCCGCCTTGCCTGCAATTACCTCCTGCCATGGGGGAAACCGAAGGATCTTCTTACCGCGATCCTGGACTGTCCTCCGCCCGACTTGTGTGCGCAACCGATCTACAGCTGCGCTACTCGGCACCTCGTGACCTTGCATCCCCCTGGTGCGGCCGCAGGCTTGCCCCACCACTCCCTGCTTGCTGCCCGTGTGAGCCTGTGCTCCGGCACACGCGTGCCAGATCTTCACGCTGAGAGCCTGCTCCGCCGCCCTCGGCTTCCACATCCCTCCGCGCCCTTGTTCTACCCTTCCCTTGTGCTCGGGGCCCCCCAGATGGGGTCCGATTAGGTGGACTCGGAGGCTTGCGCTGCGTCGGCAATGCAGCGCCGAGGCATCGGCGATACATCGGCGATGCATCGGCGACGTCGGCGTGGAGAAAACCGGGCTCCACATCGAGCCGCATACGCCGGCGATGCGGCGCGATCCTCGCGGCGCGACCCTCCGGCCCCATCTATACACCGAACCCCCCCAAGGATGCCTGGCTAGAAACTGGGCTCCGAGGTGTCCCGCGACGGCCCTGACCGCGTCTGGGACCTGAGCCGACACTTACCTCCCCTCAAAGAAAAACAACTGGAGCCGAAACCGACGGATCTGGACCCGCAAAACTGACGGCCGCGACGCCCTCTCGCGAACCGAAAACGGCCAATTCCTTAATCGACGTGTCAGGGTACTCCAGATTTCGTAACAAAAGGGAGGGGGTCTGGACCCTCCAAGACAAGCCATTTCAGACCTCCCCCGTGGGAGAACCCTCCAAAACATCGTCCCCAGACCCCCCAGGCCCTCCAAGATAGCCTGGAAGAGACCCCCCCCCGAAATGAGACCCCCCTCCCTTTATTACGAAATCTGGAGTAGGAGGTCGATCCACCTCCGAACTCTGAACACCCGAACCTCCTGCCCCCCCCGCGATCGCCGGCGAGGCTGGCGGGGGGCGTGCCCGCCCGCCTTCGGGGTGGCCGCCGCCGCCGGCGCAGGCGCCGGGGGCCTCCGGGCGGGCGCCAGCCTGCTGCTGCTGCCGCTCCCACTGCGGGCCCCGCAGACGACAGGGCCGTCGTTTTTTACCGGCGTTGTGCTTTTCCCCTTCGCCCCAAGGGGCCCCAGGAGGCCCCACGAGGCGCCCGAGAGGCCCCAAGACGCCCCCGAGAGGCCCCCAAGAGGCCCCAAGAGGCGCCCGAGACGCTCCCAAGAGGCCCCAAAACGGCCCCCGAGGGGCCCCAAAACTGCCTCCAAGAGGCCTCCTACGAGAGTCCAACGAACATCCAATGGGCTTCATACCCACAACCTCGGCACTGTGGCGGGATGGGCCGAAGGCCCGTTCCGGCGCCATTTTGTTTCCTGGTTCGGTCGCCGCTTTTTGCTGGTTCTGACGCATAGGTTCCAATCCCGGAGCAATTTCTGATGCCGCCACTTCTACGTCGCTGTGCTTCTGCCGTTCCCTGTCTCAAGCAACGCTTGTTCGGAAACGGTGAAAAAAACGGCCCTGCGACTTCCGCAGCCCATTAAGGCTGCTCCTGGGGCCCAAGGGGGAATGGAGGAAGAGGTATAAGGAAATAGTGTGGACAGTTCCTGTTCCTGCCCACGACAAGTGACAAGATCGGTGACAAGAGACTCTGCATCTATGAAAGATTCGCCACCGCGCTTGCAGCGGTTGGTATGCGTCGTGCCCTTTCTCCTTGTGCGAAGCATTAATAAAGGCCCCTGACGCATCGAGCCCACGATGCATTCACTTTTCTGTGGCGAAGTCCCTGCAATGTCGGCCTTCCAGGCAGACAAATGTCCCAACAACGAAACTCGGGGAAGGCATGGACCCTCCTCTCTCCCCCCCCCATGGCGACCCCGCCTCCCTCGCCCGAGTGCGGTGGCGGAATTGCACGGCAGCGTAACTGGATGTGCTCAATTCGTGCCCGTTTTTAAGCCGTTACGACTCGGCTGAACATCTGTTTCTTGATGCGAGTGGGGCCTAGCGAACCCTTTCCTGACTATGCTCCCTGTCCTCCTGATCGTCTTCCCCCTTCTCCGCCTGCTAGTGCAGAGCATCGTTTGCGTCCTGCTACTGCTCGTTCTCCTCAACCCACTCCCCCTACTTGTTCCTGGTCCCCCTGCTACTCAGTGCCTCCCTTGTTCTGCTCCTCCTCCTCCTGTTCCTCCTACTCCGCCGCCGCCGTCGCATTCTCATTCCCTTCCTCTTCCTCCCCCTCCTGCCTTCTGGCGCTGGTAAGTCTCGCTGCGCTTGACTGCTTTCCCTGTCAACACCTCCTCCAACTGGTCGCGCTCCTTGATGTAGACGAGCTCTGGGTGGCCCGTCCTCCCGAGGGCGTCGGGCAATCGAGGGTGCCTCGTTTGGATCTCGATTTACAATTCAAAACGATAGTATGGATGAGCGATAAAGATGCAAGCCCCTTGGACGCCTGTTTCGAGACTCTTCGAGCGGGGCTGGCCATCGAAAGGGCATCAGGCTGGACCCAACAGGCACGGATGCAGTGGCACCCCTGGCAAGGTTCCTCATCCTTACCATCGGTTTCGACGGTACTGGAATACAGAACCTTCGACCAACAAGAGATCCTGTTCCGCACTTTTGGCCTCGGGGCGGCGTCGGGCCAGGGTGTCCGAAGCCTACCGCGCTCGAAGACGGCCCGAGGGACCCCCCGTAGGGCCAGGTCTGGGAGACCCCCGAAGAACCCCCCCCAGGGCCAGGCAACAGTATGGGCCACAACACGCCATATATACTTGCGCACGCGAAGAGATCTCTGCATACGTGTATTTCGCATGCCCGCGCGTGTAGGCACGTGCATCCATGACCCAACTACGTGTTGTTGCCTTTATTTGAGTGTGATGTTCGGTCGCCTTGATCTGCCTCATGTTCACGTGCCATTGGCATTTAGCTTGCATCTAGCTTGCCTCTGGCTAGCGTGTACCTGAATTTCACTTGTATTAGAATTGCTTCTAACTAATGACTTGATGTCTTAACTTGCTTGCACCCAACCGTTAACCCTATGCAAACTGACGCAGCCGTGTCATTCGTTCCTACCGGCTTCCCGCGTATTACTGGTCGCTTGCCTGCAACCTGCACTGAGCTCGCGCTGACACGCGCTGTGCCCTGTTCCCCAAACAATGCTTGCACTCAGGTGTTTTTCTGTTCTAGGGAACTGGGCTCGCCGCCTCGTCGCCGACCGTCGTCAGGGCGTGGCGGCCGGTCTGGCGGCTCCGTGCTCGCCGTCTAAACACGCATTCAAAAACACATGATTTCGCAACACGAATTTTCAGAACAACGTGCGCTCGCCCTCTTGCGCATTCTGAAGAAAACAATCGGCTCTCAACATGTTCATGGACATGTGCCAATCGGGCCTCTGGCGCCGCATGCCGACATCATTCGCTCGCCCTTGCGCGCGTGTTGGGGGGGTTCGATCCGCGTCAAATATGACCACGCGGGCCATTATCGCGCGTCGACCGCGCGCGCATGTCGAACTCCTTCCAAAACCTTCATCACTGACGCGAAGACGCCGTCATCATCGACGGCGTGATCAGCATCGGCGCCCGCACTGGCCGCGCCGTCGTCGTTGTCAACGTTGTCACCAGCATCATCGCTACGATCATCATCGTGTCTACCGTTGTCGACGTTGCAATGATACCGCGCCCGCCCAAGTCGCCGACTCGCAGTAAAAGTGCTAGGTGGGATTTGCCCAGCGGTTAGCGCCACCGCGGCCGCGTCGGCCGCGCCAAACTAGCTGGCCGCTGCGCGCGCGCGCTTGGCCTGGCGCGGCCGCAGAGATGGACCAGCTCACGCCAAGCTCTCATCGCAATCGCCACCGCATGGGTGTTTCAATCCAAATTGCGGGTGGGTGGGTGGGCTGTTTGCAACAGCATGGGATGTGTCAACTCGTTTGTTAAAATCAATTGCGCCGAATAGGTAGCACCACTTACACAACATATATTGCACACTGTCGACGGCACCACGTCGGTTGCACCGCATCGATGGCACCACAAGTACTGCAAACCACCAACTGCACCATACGTATTGCACCGCGTAGCTTGCAGCACATCGACTGCACAACTTTTGTTGCACCGCATCGATAGCAATGCACACATTGGGCAAACATGTTGCACCACGTAGCTTGCACCACGAACGTGACAAGACATCTGCAGACACGCACATGTGTACACATCACACATCAATATGTATATACCCATATGCACATATGTATAGCGCACCATGTATGTATGATGATGAATACCGATGAATGATACCACCTGTATTTGGATTGCACACCAGATGCTGCACAGCGTATATTGTACAACAAAGATTTCACAACGTAGGTTTGCACCATATCGATTGCTCCACCTCGATTGCACCACATGCACTGCAGAAGACACATTGTTTGGAACCCACACTGCCTAACATCTTTCAACAACACGGTTTTCGGCCCATCCGGCCACCGTGCCAAGGTTGTGGGTATAGAGCACATTGGATGTTCGTTGGGATCTCGTGGGAGGCCTCTCGAAACCTCTTGAAAAGCAGTTCGGAGGCCTCTTCGCGGCCGTTTTCGATCTCAGTGAAGCCACGTCTTCATTGTTACTCGGGCTAGGGGTTCTTTGTTCTTTCGTGTGCCCCGCCTCTGGCACGAGCGCGAATGCCCCTCGCCCACAAGATGGCGCTGCATGGTGCCCAGGCCGGTCGCCTTGCAGCCGCACAACCCGCAAAAGAAGGCGCCCTCGGACCGCTCCTCCACGTAGGCCGGCAGGCCCTCTGGGGGGGAAGGAGGACGATGTTACTGCCTACTCTTGGGGGTCCGATGCCAAGCGGGGTCACCACCGCCTCCTCAAGGAGACGGGCCCCGCTGGACCCTCCAGCCCCCCCTGCCGGGGTTTCCGAAGACGCCTAAAAGCGTTCAGAAAGTCCTCCCCGATCCTCACTCCCGGATTTCAGGAGGGGGTAGCGACCCCCCTGGTGGTGTGGCTACCCGGTAACCCCCTTTGGCACTGCCCAAGGGCGCCTGATCCAACGATCCGATATATTGTTTGTTTCCAGTCGGGGCCCTCGGCAATCCCGACCAGCTCTCCCGGACCCACTTCTCATCCTGAATCGGGGACACACCGACTCTGGTCAATGTGACCCTGGGTGAGTCAGGCCGTGCAAGATCCTGCACGCTGACCCACGTCAGTGCACCCCTGGCTCTGCAGGACCCTGCAAGGTCCGGCGCTCTGGCTGATCCCCGCTGGCATTGACCCCGCCTCAAGGGCCCCGACTGAATCGTCGTCTGCCCTGCGGGGGCCCCCGGTGGCCGGAAGCGGCGAAAGACCCCCGCGTGTAAGGTCTCATCCCTTTGGAGGTCTGGGCACTTCCTCGATTTCCACAAGGGTTCGCGCCGGGGGAGGGGCGAAGCACGGCTCCGCCTGCCCTCTCTCGAGCCCCCCCCTGAAGAAGGACAGCTCCTCCTCCTCCTTCTCCTCCTCCTCCTCCTCCTCTCCCTTCCTCTACCTCTCCCTCTGCCTTTTCCTTCACCTCCACCTCCTCCTCCTGCTCCTCCTCCTCCTCCGTGTCGCGCACTCCCTCCCCCCCCTCGTCCTCCACCTCCTCCACGTTCTCTTCCTTTTCCTTCTCCCCCTTCTCCTCCTCCACCTTCTCCTCCTCCCCTTTCAAAAAACACAATATGAATACTATTCTCCTCTCTCCCCTGATGACGTCCGGGAAAATTTGCCTCCCCTCCGCCTGCTGTTTGTTACACACAGGATTCCCGGGAACGGGGTTTTCGACTGGTTTTTGTTTCAACGTGTTGCTCCTGCTGAAGCGCTGGCCTCATTCTCGGGCTTCCGCTCATTACGAATCGTGCTCCCGCAGCAGCGCTGGCCTCATTTCCGGGCTTCCGCTCATTCCGAATCGTGTTTTCGCTGCAGCGCTGGCCTCATTTCAGGGCTTCCGCTCGTCCCGAATCGTGCTCCCGCTGCAGCCCTGGCGTCATTATTTCCAGTGCCATGCCACGGCTTGATTTTCGGTCCTTCCAAACAAGCCCCAAAATCGATAAAAATGGCCTCCCGAAAAATCATCGGAAGTGATTACACATTCGGTGCCGATTCGTTGATTTTTGGGGCCGCAGCCCCCACCCCACTTTGGGGCGTCGCCACGACATGCTATGTCATGCTACGCCTTGATTTTCAACACCATGCTATGCCATGTAATGCTATGCCATGCTGCGGCATCCGATTGTGCGAATAGACCGGAGATCTACGCCATGGTAAGGGATGGGAGGGAGGGGTAGGACGTCAGATATGACCCGAGCGCGCCTGGCTAGTCCTCCTCCCCCTCTTCCTCCATTTCCCCCTCCATCCGTTCTTCATATACTCCTCCCCATACTCCTCCCTGTCGCACCCCGAGGCTGGTCGAAAGGACGGGCTGGGCGTTTCGTCTAAGACTTCCCCACCACTAATGATCCTGAAGCTACAGACTTGCAAACATTGCGCGGATGGAGGCGGCCCGTTTTCAACATGTGGCTCTCGCCTTGGCGCCGCGCACATTCGTCTTAGAAGTGTGCAAGAGCTTCACGCATGGAGGGCGGTTCGTTTTCGCACATTCGCTTTAACTGTTTGCGAACGTTTCACGGATGCGGCCCCTTTTCAAAATGCAGCTCTCGCCTGAGCGCCGCGCACAGTCGTCTTAAGAGAGTGCAGCAATCGTGTAAGAATTCTCATGGTTTACGTCCCAACAATGGTGTTTCGGCACGGTGTCGGAATGTCGGGGCGCATCGGTCACGTTGATTCGCGGTGATGAAGTCCCAGAAATGGTGTTCTGGCGCGACTCAGGATCAGAAACGGCGTTCTGGCACAATTGCAAATTGTCAAACGGGTGTCTTCCAACGGGGCACCTCCCTGAGTGAAAATAAATCCGTGTAGGGAAGTTGGAGGGAGGGTATATTGCAATGTCGTTGATGAGTCTTGGGGTTGCACTGGTCCTCCTCCTCCTCCTGCTTCTCCGTCTCTCCCTCCTCCAGCTCGCCCTCCACTCCCCCAGCTCCTGGGCTACCCTTTAGGCCCCTGCGGGCTTTAGCCGCAGACTACGTCTCGTTTCCCCCACGCTGCAGGGACGCATGAGGCATGCCATCAGTGCCAGCAAGACAGCTGGTGTGACAAAACCCTAGGGGCAAAACAGAAATCGAGACGCCCGGACCTGAAGGGGAGGATGACGAGGAGAGGGAAAGATGACGAGAAGAATGCCTCCATCAAGTCGACGGGCTCGTCGCCTGCCAACGCCGCAAACTCATCCTCCTCCTCGGGCTTCTCCGGCAAGCCCGCGAACTTGATGTGCCATTTGCCATTCAAGTGCTGCCTGTGGGGCTGCGGACTTTCGGTGACCCCCAGGGCCAGTCGGCGGTCCCTTGCAGGGGATGGAGGAGGAAGGAGCAGGGATGAGGGAGCTGGGAAGAGAGGTGTGAGGAAAAGAAGGGGGGGGGGGGGGCGCCGACGGGAACCCGCGAAGCGCGCTTAATCTTCGCGGGGTAGATAGATCTTAAACTCCCCATTGGACCCCTAAGAGAACTACTTCTGCGTCTGCGAGCCACCCGGGAGGACTGCTGGAAGCTCCCCCAAAGCTCCACGGGAGCCCAAAGAAGCCTCTGACGGAAACCCAGGTCACCTGTCTTCGCGCTTCTCCCTGCACGACGCGCAATCATCTTCGTGCTTCTGACTCGGCGGCCATGGAGAAGGGCCCAGACAAGCGGCGAGGCACGAAGCGCAATGCCCTTTTGCGCCACTCCGTGCGGCCCAAGAGTCCGTCTGACATCCAACCCAGCGGCCATTGGAAACCGGGAGAACTCTAGCATATGGCGCAGCATGCTTTTCGCCATATCGGTGCCTCGCGGCTGCTTCCAGAATCCAAGTAGAGGGCAGAAGAACCACCCTCATCACAAACACCCTGACAAGGACAGTCAGGCCTTTACTAAACGCTCCCTAGGAAGAGAGTAGGGCTGTTTAGCAAATTTGCAGGACTGCTTGGGGTAGTTCTGCCTCCCTTGACCAGGCGGCCAGAAGGTCTGAACTGGATGGGGCCGAGAAGATCTCCCCAGACCGTCTGTGCTCGCGCCGTAGCAATGTTTCAAACCAGATCCGTTAGCGACTGTCCCAGGGCCCGGGACAGAGAACCTCGAACCTGCTCGCCTTCCTGCTGCCCGGAACCTATGCTGGGCCACCTCACACTCCCAAACGGCTCCAACATCAGGGAACAACCCCGGATGAGAAAATGCATCCGGGGGAAGGGGGTCGAGAGCTCCAGGGACTTGCGACTCGAACACCATTGAGCATTGGGTCTGGGAACGTGTCACGCATTCGGCCCCTGCGTGTACAATGCTGGAAGCTCCTCCGGGCTCTGAAAGACTGCCCCCCGCCCTCGCACACACATGCACACGCAAGTGCACGGGTGTGGTCGTGCCACGCGAGTTGCAACTAATCGTGATGCAGACGCACGCAGAGTCAACGACAGGTGCGAGGTCAGGGCATCCTCCAACCCCAGACATGCTCGCGTCGCGGAAAAATGAGGACGGGAGGTGTTTCGCTGTTTTTGGCCTCTGGGGGCCCTCACCAAGCCCCAGGACCATCAAAACCGGTTCAGGATGAAAAGCCGAATCCAAGGGAACGGGTCGGGACTTCGGGGACCGCGAATCAAGAAAAGCAGGGCGTTGCATGTCTGGGCCCAGGACATGATCAAGCAGAACGTTGAACATTGCACCTGGACAGATTGAGGAGTGGAGCACGATTCGACCCACGGCTGCAATTTTCTCGGGCGCACCCAATGTCCTAGTTTATCGGGAAGTCCCCGTTGTGGGGGGCTCTGACGAGGGTGCAAGGTAAGGGCCCCAGACCCTTGGATGTTCATGCAAGTCCAGGATGCAAGATCATGGTTGAAGACAAGGATGTCGAGCGTGCATGGATACAGAGAGAAACCTTGATGAAATGCTGCTTCGTTTCTCCTGTGATCTCTCTCCTCCGGCGCCGCATCTCTTGCGTAACGGCCCCCCCTTGGGGAACTCGACTCCTCCCCCGGGGATGTTCATCCTGAGTAATGTTTTGATGGCCCGGGGACGGACAACGCCCTCCATGACGCCAAACACGTAGAAAGACTTTCCCGCATCATTGTTTGCGACGACTGGATCTGAGGGTTTGGTCTTGAGGGATGGCGGTGCGTTCGCAGCCTCAAGGATGGAATATGAAGGGGCACTGCAAGGATGACGAGCGCAGAGGGCAGCCTTGATGAGGGACTGTATCCTGACTCGGAGCAGGGCGAGTTGAGACAACGGAAACTCAAAATCGGTCCCCAACCCCCTCCGAGGATCCAAACGCACAAGAGTTTCGAGCTGCGCGGACGACACCGAAGGCCAACTACCGCTATCTCTACTCGCCCTGCTCTGACTTACTGCGGTGTTTGACTGTAGGGGGCGGCTGGCTGACAAAGGCCTCAAGGACAGCAGGTCCTGGAACGGCCCGGCGGTCTCGCAGAACCTGCAGCGGAACGTCCCGCTGTCGGTCACCTCGCCTCCTGCCACCTCTGGGAGAAACCATCCTCGAACCTATCCTTTTATCTGAGACTTGCAAGTCAAAAGGCCGAAAGACAGCGGTGACAATCTCAGAGATGGGCACTCAGCAGCTGAGGGCATCTTCAAGATCGGCATCGAGAAAGTGATGCCGGTCGTAGGGACAGGGCTATGTTTCAGGCTTGTCATGTCATTAAGGCTAGGGATGAAGGGGCCCAGGGACACGTAAACAGATAGACATAAATCCCAGGATCCCCGATATTTGCAATATTTCCTGTACGTTCGGGATCCCCCCTACTCTACTCCCCATATTTGCAGTATGTCCCAGGGAATCGACGACTCCATGTGACTTTGCTCTTTCCCCTCCTGGAGGGAGGCCCCCTCCGCACCTGCCTCCTCATCCCACCATGCCACCCCACGTCTTATCGAACGAAACCGCGGCGGCAAGCCTTCGCTCTAGCTCGAACCACGCGACGCTCCTCGTCACCACGGCCTGGCTCCCCTCGAAGCCCTGGTCAGAGAACGTATCACAGACCCAGCCGTGCGAACGCCTGGATGTTGTCGGTGCGCGGCCCCCCGAAGTCTCGACCCTTTCCCCGGGCCCTGCCCTTCGTCCCGAATCCTTTTCGGACGGCCCCGTGGCCCGGTGAGGGTCCCCAGAGGCCGAACACGGCGAAGCACCTCCCGTCTTGACTTTGTTTTCATGACGCGAGCACGTCTGGGGACGAGGCCTGCGGGTCGACCCCCCGAACCCAGAACCCCCTCTCGCATCGTGGGCAATGTGCCCATGGAAATCTTTTGACAACCACCGTCGGCCTCGCGGGAGTCTCCCCTCCCGCCCTCCCTGTCTCCGCCCCCGATCCTGGGAGAGAGGGGTCTTGGGACGGTGCCCCCTGGCCTCGAGCTCGGGCGGTAGCTTTCCAGTCTGGATCGCGGCCTCGGTCTCCCTCTTCCTCTGCAAGCTCTCGTGCTTGCGCCCGTTCACGTGCGCCTCCGCGGCCTTCTGGGGCAGACAGAAGGACAGGCTAGCAGAAAGGGGGCTCATGAATCAGCCGCGATGTAACATGTCTGCGAAGTTATGCTTCTGTAAATAATATGTATATGTATAAAACATCAAGATTCCTCTTCGCCTGATCCTTTATTATAGGAGTCGCGGAGGCGTACGTGTATGATCAACTTCTGTACCTGCTCAGGCTGATCCCAAGCCTCTGCTTGACGGTTCCCCCCCCCACCCGCCGTGCTCCACCGCTTGCCGCTTGCCCTGACACTCTCCCGAACGAGGCAACCCGTGTGGCTGCTGTGGACACGCGAGGCGCCAACACTTCGCCTATGATTGGCCGCGCGTACAAAGGGGTGTCGCCATTCGCCGTAGGTCGGGCATGTCCCTCTACAGGCGGACACTGGGCGAAACATTAAAAATACTCAACACTACCCCAACATAATCCGAAAAAACTGAGCCGATTGCACGCAGCAGGCCTTCCCATGGCCCATGCAACTTGTTTGTTTGGTTCACGTGGTTTGTCTGTTTTGTCATTCCTCCTCCGCCCGAGCTCGAGCCTTGAGGCACTGGAAGGGCCCCGCGTCGCACGCCGCGCACAGGTACTCCGCCTGCGCAGGACCAGTCAACATCGAATCCGGAGATCGGGTCAAATCGAGATATGCGTCGGATCGGGCCACATCGGCAGGGAGTCGTAATCGAATCGGCCGCGCCACGATGCACTACAATGCCGTGCAAACATCGAGCCGCATCGCATCGTCGGAACATCAGAACTGGTGTTGAATCGGATCGATTCGATATCGATGTCGAACCGGATCGATCGGAACGACATCAAGCCGGATCGGGCTGGCCAAAACTGATATTGAACTAGATCGATCGCGAAATGGACGCCGCTTGCGTTCCCCTGTGGCTTGGAGCGGCTAGGGGGTCTGAACTGGTTGGGGGCCCAGAGCATCGGCCAGGAGGGAGGGATGAGGCTAACTCTTTTCAAAAACGGCCAGGGTCCATCTGGCGCAAAGTTTCCACCCCAGAACCGTTTTTCACGGTCTCGGGGCCAGCAAACAGCCCCAGGAGGCTGAAAAGGGCAAGGGGACCCTCCCCAAATCCAGAACCTAGAACCTGCGCGGATCCTGCTGGCCCGAACCAATGCTGGGCCACCTCAGACCCCATTCCAGCTTACAGAAACGCGAGAGGACACACTCGCACCTGGGCCGCGCCGATGCGCGACACGCAACCCGTTGCGTGTCGACACGGAGCTCAACACGTGGACTGAGAGCGTGGGTCTGACGCAGTACGTTCACCAAAACGCAGGCCAATACGTTGAGCCAACTAAGCACGGTACGTGTTGAGTTTCAAAACGGGCGTATCGAAGACATACTCGCACAGACGGTCAGGCGCGTGCGCGGTAGCGCGTGCGCCCGGGCCTCCTGGCCCGCGGGCGCTGTACCCTCGGAGACCTCCAGCGGACCTGGGCGCCCTGAGGCGTGCCCTGGAATTCGCTCTTCGCTGCGAACATGGAGAGGAGGAGGAGGAGGAGGAGGAGGAGGAGGAGGAGGAGGAGGACGAGGAGGAGGAGGAAAGGAAGGAGGAGGAGGAGGAGGAGGAGGAGGAGGACGCCTTAAAACGAAGCCAGGACGAGGATAACATCGGGTAATACATCGAGACTCTCTGAGATCCGGCGAATCTCGAACATATCTCGGGCGCGACGGCGCTCTCAGAGCGTTCCGGAACGCTCTGAGAGCGTTCTGGAACGCTCTGGAACGGATTTGTCCTCGTCCTCGCCCCGCCCGACTCCTCCTCTTCTAGCTTCGGCTTCTGTCCTCGACTTCTGTCTGTCGTTACCCTTCACCTCTCCATGTTACATTCTACTGCACCGCCGGTGGCCCTTGTAGCGGTGCTCCAGGCGTCACCTGACCCAAATTTGATGAACCCCCCAGGGCCGACCGGCTAATGGGGGGGAGGCTACATCCGGAGGATCTTGCAGCCACCAGGAATCAGGAATCAGGTGGAGGAGGAGGAGGAGGAGAAGGAGGAGGAGGAGGAGGAGGAGGAGGAGGAAGAAGAGGATCGGATCAGTCCAAGATGGAGGAGACGGAGAAAGAGAAGGAGGAAGAGGAAGATGGAGGAGAGGGAGGAGAAGGAGCATGAGGAGAAAGAGGAGGGGGAGAAGGAGGAGGAGGGAGGAGGGAGGCAGGGAGGAGGGGAGGAGGAGGAGGAGGAGGAGGTGGAGGAGGAGGTGGAGGAGGAGGAGGAGGAAGGAGGAAGGAGGAGGTGGAGGAGGAGGAGGAGGAGGAGGAGGAGGAGGAAGAGGAGGAACAAGGTGGAGGAGAAGGAGGGAGATCGGATCAGCCCAAGCTCGGCCCGAAGTGGGCGCCGCCTGCGTGCCCCTGTGGCCGCCCTCGCCGCCGCGCACGATGCCCTGCTCGCTCAGCTCGGGCGGCACCTCCGCGGCCACGGCGGCCTCCGCGGGCGCCGCGGCCGCGCGCTCCGCCGCGGCCTTCTCCGGCTGCGTCTTCCTGGAAGAAGAACAGAAAAACTCAGAAACGCTAAGTTTTGGCGCTCCGCGCGGACTTCTTGGATTCGCGCTGGACCTCCCTCGCTGGCGCACGGAAGGCGCCAGGGGCGGCGCCGGAGGCGCCGCCGGGGGGGCCCGGGCGCTGATGCAAGAAGTCCTCGCGGAGCGCCAGAAGTGTATGTTTTATGTGTGTGTTTCTCTTCTTCCACTTCCGCATGTGCAGCTTCGAGAGGACGTGCTTCTCCATCACGTCGACGTGCAGCATGGGCCCCTTTCGGCGACAGACCGGGGAAGCCACAGGAGGTCGGCGATGGCTCGGAGATGGGCCCCCGATCTGCCGAGTCCGCGGCTATCGGGCCCCCCATCGGCGACGAGTGGGCGATTGGGGCTCGACGCGGCCTCTCCACACACCCCTGGTCGTGACAACGCAAGACTCGGGCTCGGGAGACGCGGGTTGGCCTGGCGGGCCGTCAAGAAAATGACGAGACCAAACCTGAAACTTGACGCGATCTCCCGCAGCAGACATCCCAAGAACAGCAGGCCGTCAAATCCCACCAGCCCTTTAGGGCGTAGGTGGTCTAGGGAGTTTCCTCTGCCAACCCCCTTCTTCCCCTTCGGGGAGGGGTTTACCCCTCCCCTTACCCCTCCCCACTGACCTGGACGGGGCCGGTCGCGAGGTGTCAGAGCGTCCAAGATGGCCCAAGACAGCTCCAAGAGCGAACAGGCGAGAAAACACAAAACATTGATTTTACCTAGGTTTTGGAAGGATTTTGGCATCTTGGGGGGGCCCAAGAGGCGACTCGAGGCACTCTGGAGGGGCGGGGCTAATAAGCACCCCCCCCTTCTTTGATAGATCTCCTCCAAGATGGCCCAAAGAGCGCCCCGAAGGCTCCCAAGAGCGCCCCAAGAGCGCCTCAAGAGGGCCCCAAGAGACCCCAAGAGGCCCCCAAGAAGCCTCCAAGACGTTGCCAAGAGACCCCCAAGAGGCCCCAAGAGAGTCCAAGATGACCCAAGACGGCTCCAAGAGCGAAAAGGCGAGAAAGCAACAAACATTGATTTTACCTAGGTTTTGGAAGGATTTTGGCCTCTTGGGGCGCCCAAGAGGCGACTCGAGGCACTCTAGAGGGGCAACGCTAATTGAGGACCCCCTCTTCTCTGATCGATCTCCTCCAAGACGGCCCCAAGAGCGCCCCGAAGGCTCCCAAGAGCGCCCCAAGAGCGCCCCGAGAGCGCCCCAAGAGGCCCCAAGAGGCGCCCAAGAGGCCTCCAAGAGGCCCCCAAGAGACCCCCAAGAGGCCCAAGAGGCTCCCAAGACGGGTCCAAGAGCGAAAAGGCGAGAAAACAAAAAACATTGATTTTACCTAGGTTTTGGAAGGATTTTGGCCTCTTGGGGGGGCCCAAGAGGCGACTCGAGGCACTCTAGAGGGGCAGCGCTAATTGGGGACCCCCCCTTCTTTGATAGATCTCCTCCAAGATGGCCCCAAGAGCGCCTCGAAGGCTCCCAAGAGCGCCCCAAGAGCGCCCCAAGAGGGCCCCAAGAGGCCCCAAGAGGCCCCCAAGAGGCCTCCAAGAGGCCCCCAAGAGACCCCCAAGAGGCCACAAGAGGCTCCCCGAGATACGCAAGAGGCCCCCGGGACCGCCAAGAGGCCCCAAGGACGGCCCAAGAGGCCCCCAAGCTCGCAATTGTCCTCCTCCTCCTCCTCCTCCTCCTCTTTTTCTTCCTCCTCCCTCCTCCCCCTCCCCCTCCTCCTCCTCCTCCTCCTCCTCCTTCTCCTTTTCCTCCTTCTCGTCCTCCTCGTCCTCGCAGTCCTCCATCTCCTCCTCCTTCTATCCTCCTCCTCCTCCTGCTCCTCCTCCTGCTCCTCCTCTTCCTCCTCCTACTCCGACGACGACGGCTCCTCCTACATCCTCCCCCTCTTGGGGTATATGGCGGCTCACCCCGCCCTTTGTTCTTCTGCATGCTCCCCCGCTTCCCTCATAACCTCCACTCCCCTGGGACTCATTTCTGGACGGGCTGGTGGGGTTTCGCGAAGCGTCTAGAATTTAACGACGGGCGCGTCGAAAGGCATCGCCGTTTCTGGCGAACTCGAGACTTACGTTTCCCCGCCCCTTGTCAGAGGAGGAGCTACAGGTACCGCTGCTCGCCCTGGAGAGCCCTCGTCGTTACGGCTGGGCTCTCTCTTCGAAGAGATGGTCAGAACGCACCTCCCGGGAGAACTGGGGGAGCAGTGCGATCGGTGCCTTTCTGTGCCCCCGCCTTGTTGCAGACGGAACACCACAGCCCGTTGTTGTTCTTCACTATGCCCTGCTCCGCCCAGCCCGGCTTCAGGGTCAGCACCGAGGACTGCTCTGGGGCGCTCGGGGCCGCGTCTGCGTCATCGTCCGACTCGACGGGCGCATCGGGCAGGTCTGCGAGCTCCTCGAAGATCATGAAGGTGAAGTACGCGTCCTCCGCAGCGTACTGTATCTGATCCTCCGTGAGCTTGGTGGCCGACCAGTCGGACCGCGCCACGCGCGACTCCTTGCGCATCTGCCACCCAAAGTCCGCGGCGAGCTTCTTCAGCCCGGTGTTCTTCTTGCCCTTGCTCGGCGCCAGCTCTGCAAGGTCCACGACGCCTGGGGGAGCGGAGCGATACCCATACCGCTACTCCAGACCTCTCCTGGGGCGCCTCCGACTAGGCGTTCGAGGCAAATCTGGCCGTGACGACGAGGGAAGGCCAGCGTAATCGGCATATCTTCCGCACTGAACGCCGTCGAGCTCGAAGTTGAAGGTGCTCAGGAGCTTGCGCTTGTCGGATCCGTCGTAGCCCACGCAGATCTTCGTCACGCGCTTGCCCGTGAGCAACTCAACCAGGACGTCGGGCAGCCAAGCGTCGGTCCTGTGCGTTCTGACCAGGACAGCGGTCTCGGCGTCCGAGAACTGCATTAGCGCCACCCGGTTGTCCGAGCCCGCATACCTTGGGAAACAACGCAACGATACCGCTACTCCCCAGACCCCGCCCGGGGTGCATTCTGACCGCGAGTTTGTAGCAAAACCAGCCGTGGCGACGAGAGGGTCGAAGACGGAAAGAGGGGTGAAAGGTAGCGGTATCGGTGCCTCGGAAGCCGTTGCTCATTAAATCGTGGCAGGGTCAGTTGCAGAATTAGATGGGTGGGGGCGCGTGGGGCGTGACGAGGCCCGAAAGGAAACCTGAGCTTCAAACAAGTCGGGACTCACTTGCACGCCGTTTCGGTCCAGCGCTGCTTCTTGAAAGGCCGCCGAAGGGGGGGGGAGTTCCCTGCGAGTCCACCGACCCCCGCTTGCCCAGGGTGAGAAGGCGTGTGAGATAATTGGCTGCCCCCCTCCCCCTTCCCTCTCCCCTGGGGTCCAAACTGTCGTTCGAGGGGGGGAGGGCGAGCTCGTCAACGCACCCCGTGGGCCTCCGCGGCCTCCGGAGCCTCGAAATCTACACTCCGTGGCCTCCAAAATGCCCAAGATGCCATCTAAGCTGGCTCAAGCTGGGCTTGAACACGCCGAGGAGGCCTCAAAAATACTCAAACTGGCCTCACGACGGCCCAAGAAGCCTCCAAGACGCCCCAAGATGGATCCAAGAGGACCAGCCAAATGGCCTCAAGAAGCAAAAATCGCCGAATTCAGCTACGGAAGAGTGCATTTTCAGCAAACTCGCTTGTGTAATCAAAATAACGTCCAAGACGGCTCAAGAAGGCCCCCATATTGCTCCAAGACGGCCCCAGCAGACCCCGAGAGGAGCCCAAGAAGGCCCAAGAGGGCAACAAGATGGCCCAAGAGGCGCCCAAGACGGCCCATGGGGGCCCCAACAAGGCTCAAGAGGGGCCCAAGAGGGGTAACTGAAACTGAAATTTCGAACCCTCCGCCTCCAAGGGCCCCCGAGACCGCCAGCAGCAGGCGCCCAAGAGCCCCCCAACAAGCCCCAAGAGGCCCCCGAGGGGCCCAAAAGATGTCCCGAGAAACTCCAAAACGGTCTCCAAAAGCCTCACCGTGGACTTCTTCCTCTTCCGGGGTCGGCGGAATGGCGTAACCCTGCAGGAGAAACCTGTCCATGTAAGTGAAGCTACATACCGTATTCTAGTACATTACTATGCTTCCCCCCTTAACCCCCCCCTGGAGTCGCGCCACATATCCGTACCAAAGTGGCGGCCCCCTTCTGGGGCCCTGCAAACGTACAACAACCGATGAACAGTCAATGATTTGGGCCCCTGGGGCTTCTTGGGGGCCCAGGAGTGCGTCAAGACAACATAAGATGGCCTCACGACGAGCCACGACGAGCCCAAGACGGTCCAAGATGGCCCCAAGAGGAACCAACAAAAACCCCAAGGAGGCCCCAGAAGGCCCCAAGAGGACCCTCAGGAGCGCCACCAGAGGCCAAGCATCAATGTTGTTTCCGTAGGTGTTTGGGTGATTTTAGTGTTCTCGGCTTTTCTATCCTTAGAGGTCCATGACGGCCCAAGCAGCCTCCAAAATGGTCCCAGGACGGCCCTAGAGGCCCCAAAGAGGACCCCACGACGGCCCAAGAGGGCCCCAAGACGGCCCGCAGAGGCCCCCAGGACGGTCCCAGAGGCCCCCAAGACGGCCCAAGAGGACCCCAAGAGAGCCCTAAGGCGGCCGCGAAAAGGCCCTCAGGATGGCCTCCGAAGAAGCCAAGCGGCGCAAGCGAGCCCCAAGACGCGCCCAAGACGCACCCAAGAGGCCCCAATAGGCCCCAAAGAAACCCCCAAGAGGCCCCAAGAAACTCACAGGAGGCATCCAAGAGGCCCCAAAGATGCTTCCACCAGGCCCCACAACGTCTGGACTGCACGTGCTCCGGGCGTGACTCCCGCGAGCGAAAGGAATAACGTCAAACCCGGCAGATGTGGATAAGAATGAGGGGGCGGTGGTGACGTTGGCAGTCTGCGAGACTCGGGGGAAGCCCGCCGCAGGCGCCAAAGTTCCACAAAGATTATACAACGAGCCCGCCGCAGGCGCCGATTTTCTCGTCAAACCAATGTGGGTAGGACGCGGGAGGGTCGCGAGTGGGTCGCGGGGTGGGTCGCGGCTGGGTCGCGGGTTGGGTCGCGGGTGGGTTGCGGGGTGGGTCGCGGGTGGGTCGCGGGTGGGTCGTGGGTGGGTCTCGGGATGGGTCGCTGGGTGGGTCGCGGGTGGGTCGCGGGTGGATCGCAAGTGGCCCGCGGGTGGGTCGCGGGGTGGGTCGCGGGTGGGTCGCGGGTGGATCGCAAGTGGCCCGCGGGTGGGTCGCGGGGTGGGTCGCGGGTGGGTCGCGGGTGGGTCGCGGATGTCTCGCGGGGTGGTTCGCGGGGTGGGTCGCGGGTGGGTCGCGGGGTGGGTCGCGGGTGGATCGCGGTGTGGGTCGCGGGGTGGGTAGCGGGGTGGGTCGCGGGTGGGTCGCGGGGTGGGTCGCGGGTGGGTCGCGGGTGGGACGACGACGACAACAACAACAATAATCATTCTAAGCCTGTTCGCTCTTACTTGCCCGTGTGTCATTAGAAACGAGTTCCCCACGCCCTCGATACCCACTCCTTTTGTCTCCGATCACACCGCCTTTGGGGGGATTATTCCTCTTTGCGGGGTGCGGCGGGCTTAGACATGCGGGCAAACCTGAAGGGGCGGACAATCCTTCGTGGACGTACATGTGCCCGCCATTGGAAGTGGTGTGGGCCCTGCAAAGAGAGGAGGGGGAGATCGAGGGTGAGTGGGAGGAAGGGGGGGAAGGGACCAAGGAAGAGGGAAAACGCCAGGAGAGAAGGAGCGAAGAGGGTGGCGGTTGATTAGAGGCAAAGGGACAGAGAGAGAGAGAGAGAGAAAGAGAGAAAGAGATAAACAAACCTATCCGATCGGTAGAGAAAGAGAGAGAGGGGGGAACGAGAGAAAGAGAGGGAGGGAGGAGGCAGGAGAGGGGAGGGGAGAAGGGAGAGGAGGGAGAGGGGATAGGGCAGAGAGGCATGAGGATGAGGGAAGAGAGGAGGGAGAAAAAGGAGGAGGGAGGAAAAGGGAGGAGGGGCAGGAAGGCAAGAGCGTAAACGCTCGAGGAATTCCTAGGCGAAAGCGCCGTTCCTGAAGGAAGTCTCGGGCCGAGCCCACGCCGGGCGGGCGATCTCCTGACGGGCGTGTCGGGCGGGTGAGACATTCAAGCGGGATGCCTGAGTATGGTGAGAGCGCGATTCCTAAGTAAATTGTGACGGCGTCCTTGGCGCAGCGGGTTTCCTGAGCGTCGAAAGCGCGATTTCTGACAAAATTGCATGGACGTCACAGGCGAGAGCGCAATTCCTGAATAGAATGTGAGGGGTTCTCTGGCGGGAGCAGGGGTCTTGATTAAATTGCGACGGGTCTTGGCTCAATTGCGAAGAAGTCTCAAGCGGGAGCGCCGTTCCTGAGTAAATTGTGAGGACGTCTTAGATGGGAGCGGGGTCCAGACTAAATTGCGAGGAAGTCACAAGCGGGAGCACCGATCCTGAGTAAATTGTGAGGAATTTTCAGATGGGAGAGGGGGTCCTGAGTCAATTTGGAGGAAGTCTCAAGCGGGAACCATTGTTGTTGTAATCCGAGGGGCCAGTGGCACAGTTTGAGCACCAAGACTGTCCCTGTCAAAAAACAAGGTGCGAGCGTCGAGGGGCACAATTCGATTGAGAAAAAGCAGCATGCACCGGTCAGGGGGATCAACAAGAATTACTCTTCAGGAGTAAGACTTCAACAGCACCAGCAACAGCAGCAGCAACAACAACAACAACACCAACAACAACACCAACAACAATAGAAACGACGCAACAAGCAGAATCCTTACCACGGATCCCAACTTCAGCCACGCACCCAGGGACAATGACTGACCGTTCGGCCCACTCACTATGATAAACCTGTCCATGCAAGTGAACCTGCCCAGGTCTAAACAACAGCCTCATCCTGCTGCTCCCTGGGCCGTCCCCCAGGAACACTGACATGGTTTTATGTAACAAATCAAATCGGATCGCTTGCATAGCATCCCCCCCCGACCTACCGCCGCCTGTTCGACGAACAACACTGGGAAAAAACAAACCAGAATCGAATAAAAACCCCTCTTCCTCCCCTGAATACCGGTCGGGCTTCCACTCCATGTCGAAGCCCACGGTGCCGCACGACTGCAAGAGCTCCTCGAACCACGCCTGGTACGGGAAGCTCTGCACGCCCTTGGCGGGGGCCGGCGGGAAAGGGCGCGCCGTTGCGGATGCCCAGGGGCGGCGCTGGGCTGCAAGGGGAGATGAGGAGGACAGGAACAAGAGGAGGACGAGGACGAGGACGAGGAGGACGAAGGAGCAGGAAGGGAGGAGAATGTGAGGAGGAGGACAACAGGAGGACAGGAGGACCAGCACGTCGTTGGATGAATGAATCTGTACAGCCCGACGGGTATCCCTAGCCGCCCTGCCTGCTATGAGCCTTTCTCACTAGCTGGGCCAACGGGACACGTGGCAGGCTGAGCGCGACTGGGCCATTGGCGTCATTCTTGGGGTGACGGCATGACTGTGCTCTCTGCAGCTGCAATTTGGCTCCATGAGGAGGCGGTTTTGTCTTGCACTGCCCTTGCGGTCCACGGGGTCCGCTCTCCTTGAAAAGGCCACATCGGTGGCGCACAAGAAAGCTCGTTGGCTGATCCAGGTGCTCGTAATAGAGCAGGTCGTGGCCCCGCGGGTCATCAACTAGAGTCGAAAGGGCAAAGCAATTACCTGGACAGTCCAACTTATCCGCTCGCTTTCTCCGCTGCTTGAGCGAACGAACTGTGGTGCCACATGTGGTGCATCGGCGTTGACCTCGGACCATCGTCCTGGAGCTCAGGAGGGCCCGCAGGAGAGGGGAAGGAGGAGGCACAGTGCCAGAGCCGAGGAAGGGCCAGCATGGTCCCAGGAGGCCAAGGCAGAGGAGACGCCCGAGGGGGGAGGAAGGCTCTTCACAAGTTTACCAAGAGCCTTGATGCGTCTAGGCGCGATAGCTGGCCACTCACCCAGGGCACTGGCTGCGTATCTGAAGTGCTTCTTCCGCAGAGCAGTCTCGCTGAGATACTGCTCCATCTCATAAGTGCTAGGTTGGCCCCGCCAAGGATCGATGCTGCCTTTGCGATTCTTTCTGCGGCACCGCTGCCGCTCGCAATGCGATATTCTTCACAGCCGACCGTCAACTCCGAAAGAGTGTGATGGTCTTTGGCCTTGTGTAGCTTGTCGCAAAAGAAGGGTCGCTCCGCCGTCTGTCTGCGCCTTGAAACCAGCCCTCCTTCTCTTCCTGGGATACTGGGAGCCGCCATGCAGCTTCATGACTGTAGCATGATATGTATACTTTGGGTAATGTATGTCTGCGAAGACAGGCAGCAATCCGCGACAGCGGCGACATGTTCCGCTGCCCCAGAGGTTTGGGGGCATAATTTACCTGCGCGACCACTGTAAGTGGCGAGCTCAACTCCATTACGCATGTTGCTGCCTATCCTGATGCATTACATATATAGCAGAAGTGGCACGTGCTACTGCCATCTATGAACACATCGCCCCTGCAATCTTCCTCAGGCGTTAAATCAGGTTGTTGGCACCAGGAGACCACCGACTCCAGCCTCCAGCCCAGTCGTCAGGGGGGTTGCCCACAAAGTTGGGCACGAACCGAAACCCGCGATGGAGTGGACAGGGGTCGGGAATGGGCTCTCGCAGCCTAAGAGAAGCTCCCCGGTGGCAAATGCAGATCTGGCCTTTCAGCCTACGAGCATTCGACGAGGCGGTGTCGGAGCTCGTCTGCGTGGTGTCCATATGGGCAGCCGCGAGGAACGTCATAGCCTGCGGCGGGAGCTCAGTCCATAGACCAAATGACCTGGGTGACGAAATAGGGGGGGGGGCCCTGCTGCTGCTTTGAAATGTCAGTCGCGCTGAACATTGCTCGCGCAACTGCCGCCTGAAGCGCGTTGTCCAGAAAAACCAATGTTCCTGGCGGCGCGTTCTGCCAGCTGGCCATGCCAAGCAACTTCTTGCAGCTTGGCCGCGCCGGCTGGCGGGTTCCTGGGAGGGGGCGCGCGAGGCCTGCAGGAGTCGCGCATTTGGCGAACGGACTTTCAAACGCCCAGCTGGCCGTGTCGAGGGAAACAACGGCGGCGCAGAAGGGCCCCGTGCAGGAGCCGCGCGATTTGGCCGCCCTCGGAATAATCGCGCCCCCCCCCCGGATGCGCAGCTGCTCGAGACTGACCACGGCCGTGGGCGGGGTTGGCGCAGGCCTCCCGGGCCACGGGGGGGCCCGGAAGACGAGGGGGCCCCAGCTCGGACCAGCAGCTGTGACATACTGAGACGTAGCCTGCCCTAGCGAATCATCGTTGACGCCTGCGACCTCGACGCCGAAAGTAGCGGCTGCAGCGCGGCCTGTATCATAGCGTTTCTTGTCATTACCAACCAGCATACTTTGTCATCTTTACGCGGCGGGCCATGCGCGTCTGGATCGTCAGGATGTGCTCCGAGAACTCACGATCCATCCTCCGCCTCCTCTGGGGAGTCCTTTCTCGCTCTCGACGCCGGGGTTGGTTCCAGAGCTGTCGATGGAGGGCCCCGCGAGCTCTCCCAAGGTCTTGCGAAGCTTTTTGTTTGAGGTCCTGGCTGGAGGCTCGAACGCGGTTCTTCTCGGTGGCAACATGCCGCGTAAACTCGAGCGCGATGCAACTGGCAAGCGAGCGGGCTGCAACGCTCAACTGACGGATGACCACGTCGCAGCGCTTGGCATGGCAACGCAAATGGAGATCATTAATACACGTGACGAGACGCATGTACGCACGCAAGTTAGTTCACTGATTTAGAAAGGTAAGCACATGCATCTGCACTGGCTCAGTGGCCCACCACACGCGGCAACAACGCCCCCCCCCGCCCCCGCCCCCCCCCCCCCCCCTGCGCCCGCCCAAGCTTGGCCGACGCTCCGCGCGCACATCTTGTAGAGCACCGAGCTGATGGCTACCATGCTGAGCGGGGGTTCTGAGGAGGAGGAGGCAGCAGGGGCAACCAGACGCGGCAGCTCGATGGGCGAGGCGCCCCCTGTCCACGCGCTCATTGTAGTTCGACAAGTTCCGAAGCGCAAGCGCTGCATGCTGCGCATCTGCCATGGCGCTGTGATATTCACACTCGAGAGATCGCTTGCACGCAAGCTCGACCACGGAAAACCCCGCCCGGTGAGCAATGCACGGGCGGCGATCGTGGAACTCCCATTCCCAGGCGGCCGGCCGCCGCGGCCGGGCCCGCGCGCGACGCAGAGCAGGCGGCGCGCAGATGGACCTGAGAGCTGGTTTCAACGCGGGTGACAATTGCTGCTTCAAGTTCAGTGCGAGCGTCGAGATAGCTCCCGGCACATGAGACGCAATGTGCCCTATCTGCTCGATAATCTCAGCCGTGCGGCAGACCATGTCAGCCTGCTCCTCGCTGGGAACCGCAGAATGGCGGGGGCGAGCTCCATCCCAAGTAGAGGTCGCGCCGCGCGGGATACTCCGCGGCGCCTTCGAGGGCCGAGGGGCCGAAGGGGGGCCGAGGGCAACTCTACGAGGGGCTCGAGGCTGGACATCCCGAGTCTCAGGTAGACGATCGGCCTCGACCAGGGAGATATGCTGAGGGCGTTTAGAAACAGCGCCGCTGGTGAGAAACTGCGACCAGCTGCCGCGCTAGTAGCTTCTGGGCCCGCTTGCGTGCCCACCCCACTCCGCCTCTCCTAGATGGCTGAACCCATTCCCCACATCCGTGTCCATCATTACTGTGCTCGACGGCAAACTCAAGACCGATGACCATGCCAACCTGCTCGAGAAGCTCATCTAGAATGCGTCGGCCAAACTCTGCCTGGATCCAACCTGCTTGGGAATCTCCGCGCAACAGTCCGGCTGCGCAGCGCGCCTCTTGGAGCCATTGGTGACGGGCAGAGAATGCACTTAAAACCTCGAGGTCGCCATCCAAACTGTCAGGGGCCCCCCGGAATCCCTGGAGGTCCTGTCTGGATGCCGCGGCAAAAATATGTCAAGCGATTTTGGAGCCACCGCAAGGGCCTAAAGTAGGCTGTCCAACGCTTGCGACTCTGGGCGTGCCGGGCGCTGGCGGGGGCCAGTTGCGCCGCGGGAGGGCGGGGGCGGGGGTGCGCGCTGGGCTTGGTGAGGGCGTTTGTCTGGATATTGGTTGTCTGTTGTCATGTCCCGCGCAAGGGCGAGGCGCGCGCGGCCCAGGGTGGTCGAGAACGGCTGGCCGGACAGCGGCTGCGAAGCATCTCCGAACAAGTGGATAGCGTAGTCTACCACTGCAGCTGCCAGGCGCCAACTCGCGGAAGGAAGCCGGGGCCCACGTGGCGCCTTAAAGGGGGGCTCATGCGGCCCGAGGAGCGCGGGGGCAATGGGGTGTTCCTGCGCTCGAAAGTCCATGGCCACAGGGCGATGGGGCGAGAGCGGATAGGGGGCCAATGCGCGGGGGGGGGCGAAGCCAGGGTCCGAGTGCCTCGCTGTGCAGGAACTAATACAGGGTCGGATTGGTATTCTTGGTTCTTTGCCCAGTGGGCGGGGCCGCAGGCTGCGTCGTGGACCGGGCCAACGAAAGATGTGCCATCGTGTAGACTTTTGGGCTGCAGGTAAAAACATCCCGCAACAGCGGCAGGCTTCGCAAGGCAGTCTGGCAGTGGGCCGATGGCGGCCAGTAGGTTTCAATTGGTCTCGCAGAGACCTGCTGCTGCTTTAAGTCGGCGCTCGCGGCACCAAAAGCTTGGGCCCCAGGAGCTTCGACCACGGCGCCAGATAGCCAAGACGGGTCCGCCCCTGGAAGTAACTGGAGCGGCCGGGCCCCAAGCCCAAGCCATCCCGAACGAGCACCACTACCCAGGGGTTGGCGGGCGGCGGGGGCGACGTGCGCGAGCCACCCGCGCGCGTGAAACACCACTGTATCAGACGAGCGATACACTCTCCTGCTTCGAGTCTGACCTCCTGAGCACAGATGAAAGTAACATTGTCTGCAACGCTGGACTCATCAAGTGCCGCCGCTGCCCCCCAACGGGAGCCGTTGATCGCGGCGAGGGTGTAGGTCCTCTCTGCGTCTAAGCCGCGGCGAGTCCTGCGCTGCTGCCGTCGCTGCCTCTGGCGCTGCCGCATTGGCCTTCTTGGCCTCGGGGCCCTCGGCGCCCTGAATCTCGGCCGTGCTCTTTGAGACCTGCGAGATGG